AGTAAATCAATTCTCATTTTCAACCACACATTTTTCAATAAAATAATATTTTCCATCACATCAATAACTTTTTCTTCTTTTTCAACCACACATTTCTCATCATATCACTATTCAAAATCAATTCTTCCTCCAAAAATCTCTCCCAAACAAGCTCTTAATATATGTAATGCATAACAAAAATAAATAAATTAAAAGTTTAAGGTTAGAAAATTAGATTGTCTCATATTAGTTCTTGATTTATAGTCTCAAACTCGACTTTGGGCAATAATTTTTGGGAAAATTGCGGCATCGATCCCAAACCTTTCATTTTGTTGTAAATTATACCCAAACCTTTAATTTTTGTGGCCGAAGTCCCAAACCTTTATATGTAATTGCAGCGTTGGTCCCAAATCCCAGATTCCGTCCAAATTGCCGTCAGTCAACAGGAAAATTTGGATTTTGGCTCAAATGGGAGGTCAAAATTGTCAAAGCATATCTATTACCCAACCAAACAAAACAAATGTCGTTTTTTTGTCATGAAAAGAAATAAAGAATAGCATTCAGCTCCTCCTGTGTAAATTGACTAAATTCCAGTTCTGCATCCTTTCTAAATTCTACACGCAGCAGATTCGACAAATGGTTGGTAAATTCATCAATTTTGTTCTGAATGGCTTTGACTTTCTCCAGGTCCAGTCCAAGAACACCACGAACAGACTTCGATCGGATAGTCTTCCTTTTAATGGCTCTGTGCTGAGCTGCAAACGCACAAAATCAGTTCAAAATTAAACAAAAGAATGCCTCACAATTGGCGGGAGAAAGAGGATAATGGAATATGGATACCTGAATTGGCAAGTTCCTTGAGCTGCTTCCATGACTCAGTTTCTCTCCAATTCGAAATCAATGTCAAACCAGGCCCCATTCGCTGTTTGAGCTCCGAAAATCCCCCCTGCATCTCCGCTATGGCAAAATCCAAAGCCATTACTCTCATGCCCTGGCATATCCATTGCACCACTCCTTTACCCAAATCCCTCTTCCCTAATGGGTCTCCGTTCTGATGCAGAGCACGCACACTCGCCGGCCCTTTTTTTTGGGCACCTAATTGTCTACAGGATTCTGAAGACTCTGCTACCCTTTTGAAGCTTTTCTTGCTCACCGCACCGCTATCTTCTCTATTCTCGCCGCTTCTTCTCTTCGTACTTACAACCTCTGTGCCACTGCTTCTACTGGCCAAAATCCGACGTGGGAACCGAGAACTAAAGAAACATGGCCGGTTGAACAGTGATGTTTAGCCCGTGAAGAAGCACTTACTATTTTAACAATTTTGCCCTCCCATTTGAGCCAAAATCCAAATTTTCCTGTTGACTGACGGCAATTTGGACGGAATCCGCGATTTGGGACCAACGCTGCAATTACATATAAATGTTTGAGACTTCGACCGCAAAAATTAAAGGTTTGGGTGTAATCTGCAACAAAATGAAAGATTTAGGACCTGTTATTTTCAATAGAGCTTTGGAGGTCTTGTTTAGCTTGTGTAGATGGTTTTTGCACCATCAAAAATATTGCTTTGCCTTCTTGAATACGGTATAACTTGCATAAATTACCCAATCTGAACTCAACTATGAATACTTCAATCTCCTCATCTTCTTTAATCACAAAATCAATGAAATTGGAGGTTTCCATGATAATTCTATCTTCTGTGAATACTAGGCACCTTTATGATTAATTTCTCGATTTCCACATGCTTTTCTTCTTTAGTTGTTTCTTGGGTTTACTAATGAATATATCATCCACAAGAATGTTACTTAACTCAGTCGAAATTATTTGATCTACAATTCCTTTATATTTTTGCATGATGACGTCTCTCGTAACTATTTCATCGTCATCAACTTATTCTTCATATGGACCATCGAAGATAGTTTTCCTTACTTCCTCTAGAGTTGCCAACAACAAGCCATTTTTAGTATAATGCAATGCACCACAATGTTTACAAGTCAAACTAATCTCCTCATAAACAATAGATTTGATATTTAGTCCATTCGGCAAGCCATCCTTATCGGGTGCGATAGGTTGATTGTATCCCCACTTTTTAAGTTCTTGCTTGATAAGAAAATCTCCAAAGAGCATATCACCTTCATCTAAGTCGGGATCAATTGTTATTCTCTTGCTTCCGTTCGTTTACTGTCAATGAAACAAAGAAGAACAAGTAGATCAATTAAACAAGTAATGGAAAAAAAAAATTCAAATAAAAACAAGAAATATTAAAACCAATATTAAATAGAAATAGTCTCTAGAAACGGTGCCAAAAACTTGTTGTCAATTTTATATCTCGTAAATGTACAAATAGTAACAAGTAATAAAGTGGATCTATGAGTCTGGATATCGTTCTCGTGATGATTATTATTTAATAATTGATTCAATTATTCATAACTTCAATTTGATCGAAAATAAATAAAGAAGTTATTTTTTTAATTTTTTTCTATTTTAAGTATTCTAAAACAAATATAAGTGATTTTTTAATATGATGGTTTAAGTGTTAGGATTTATGATTTTACCATAGTTATCCCCTTAATCTCAATCACCAAGTTTTATGCAATTGATTATGTTTACCCGATCGAATTCTTCTAACATATTCAATTTTCCCCTCCCGAGTTTTCATTGAGTTTATTCAACTACGTCAATTCATTATCTCTAAGAATTCATGTAACGATTGTATAAACTAGTATAAATATCTCTCTGTTTTCATACTAGTTCCTGGTTTTTACTACGTGATCTAAACAAATAATCCGCATTTCTACGAAATTATTGCTCACAAAATCAATGCATTAGTGGCCTATTAATCCAAGCATTAAAATTTGAAGTAAAAACAATTCACACAATTTATTTTAGATTTAAAAGTTTTTAATTAAAATTAAGATTCAAAACTAGAATACCATCATTCATCCTAACTATATACTTATTATAGATCATGTGAGAAGAATAAAACAAGAAGTAATTTAAGTACATCATTGAGCATTAAGGAAAAAATTAATAGAAAAAGATCAAGATCTTACACCAAGAATCCGTCTCTTCTTGTAAAATTCTTTAAAACCTTGCTTCTTGATTGATTTCTAGATTTTTTCATCCTTTCAGGTTGAATAATATATGTACAATGAATCTCCCAAGCATTGGTCTGAATGTATATGTATAATGAAATTTCTACAAGCCTCTTTTAATTGTCGGACTAAGGTATGTACATAAAACAAGATTTAGGCAAAATCATTTTTCAACTTGATTTTCTCAAAAGAGTTCAAATCGGTTTCTACCCAAAAGTTCAAGAAATAGAAGGAAACAAATCCCTTTTACAATTGGACTCATTTTCTTGTGGGGCTTTAGTCCTTCATCTTCTAATATTGTAATTAAGTCATCTTCATTCCAGAAACATAATAGTTGACCCGATACAAGTTTTAGAGTTTGCAATTTAGTCCTAAACTTTCCAAATGTCGAATTTAACTCTCGAAACTTATGATTTTTTTTACCAAATGCTCCATTAATACTTCCAATTGATCTCTTACAATAGTGTTATTCTTTAATTGCTTCAAATCAACTCTAATTAAATTTCAAATAGCCTTTTTTCATATAAATTGTATCCAAGTTGGAATTTTCCTATAATTATCATAATTTACACAAATTAAGTTGATAATCGCCCAATTCACATATAAATCAATAGAATAGAAGTCAAGATAAGCACATAAAATGGACTTATCAGTTTGGCACTGGATTCGCTCAAAAATGGTAGTGCTAATAATGTGATTTGATTTCAACTTAGATTTGACATAAAGGTTCCAGTCTTGGTGAAGTTGGGACCTTAGCCTGAAAATTTGGAATTGCAACGGTCTTTGGTGCAATTTTTAAGTATAGGACTTCAAGTGCAAATTCTGAATCTCCTTGGATTAAAATTAGATTTTTAGTAAATTTTGATAAAAACAATAAAATGTGTAGTTGAAAAGTTGTAAGTCCTATGAAATAAGTGATTAAAATTAATTGTTAACTTTGACTTAAACTAAAATCTGGATTTTAGTTCCTACCAAACACGTGCTTAATGTGTTATTTTCAAGTTTGGGCGATGATGCACTCACAACTTTTTAACATCGGTTGCTGCTTTCTTGTACCCACAAAGGACACAATATCAGTGGTTAATTGCAGCCACAAAGGAGGAGGAAGATAAGAGGAAGCAATTCGTAAACTAATGCACAAAGAAGAGAGCACTAAAGATGACTGCCTCACAATTTTCTCTGTAATTCAATACACGGTTTCCACGAAGGAGAAAGGGGCCAATATATGGATTAGGTATAGGAACCAAGTTGGGCCATTACACAAATAGGCCAAAGTTTTCAGATCGAACATATCAATATGGTGTTGATATAAAATACGTTTTAACATCATCGCCTGAGATTTATTGGGTATCAAAAGTTAACAAATCTTCACCTTAATATCCAATGAACTTGCAAGGAAACAACACCAAGTTTATACTTTCCTAATCAAAGTAACCAAATAAAATTAGAATTACAAACCTTACCTCGTGTCTCCAACCCGAAACCATACCATAGCTGCTCCATGTGCTCACCAAGGGCCGAGGTCAAGAAAAGTTTTAAGTACAAATAGATAATAACAATAATCAATCAAGAGCACATAGCGATGAAAACACAACATCGAGTAATACACAGATCTTTTCAACATTTTCAACATATAAAGAACATCATAGTAATACCATGTTAATCCAGTAAATGACCAACATATACAATCAATGCATTAATGACCCCAAGAAAAGATCTCACCACTATTATTCTACCCATTCTGTGTAGCTCGTATCTCGAGAATACATATCTCCTCTCATCACCAACCATACTCACTAGATTAATCACTTCACATACCTCACTAGTAAACCACTATAGATCCTAAGTCCATGAGATGTTTTTCTATCACTACCTCACTCTCTCAACCTAAGTAAATAATTGGCCTCCACTTAATAGTGTTGATAGGAGTGTCACTATCTCACTCCATCCGATCAGGAATCTAACAGATAGAGAATTTCAAACATTTAATCACCTTACTTCTCGTGATCCAAATGTCATTCTCCACAATCCCGTACATATCACAAATGCACCCTAAGGCATCCATACTCCAAATTACCGATATACACATTTACTACTGATGTGCCTACTATTCGAAGCAAGTGAGAACTATATGGGTTGCAATCTATGAATTGGAAGTAGTAATTGAGCAATCAATTCGAGATTTAAATTCGACAATTGAAAATTTTGGAGACTAAATTACAAACTTCTGAAACTTTCATTGGATCAATATTTTACTATTTTAGAATGAAGAGGAGCAAATTATAAGGATTTCAAGTTGAAGGACTTATGTTGCAATTAAGGAAGGAAATGGACTTAATAATAGAAATTTTCGGGGACTAATTGAATAAAAGGATTAATTCAAGAACTTAAGCTCTAAATATCATGTTTTCCTATTTTAAACAGAATTCTTCATGGAATGTAATTTGACCACGATTTTTACCTCATTCTTGGATCTATAAATACAGACTTTCATCCCACAATTAGAGAATGCTTGCAGAGATTCAAGGTACATAATTTATACAAGTCAAAGGGACCTTTTGGGACACCAAATTCATATCAATTACAAGGTAAGAGAAACCAAAAGGAGAGACAAATCAAGAAATCAATCAAGAAGTAAGGTTTTTAACAAGAAAAAAACGGATTCTTGGTCAAGATCTTTATTTTGATCTCATTTTTCCTTAAAATCTGGCAATGTACTTTTGTTATTTCTTTTATTTTTGTCCCATGAAGTGTAATTAATTATTAGTTACGATGAATAACTGTAAAATATTTTGAACCTTAACTTTAAATATAAAATTTTAATTTTCAATTGATGCTTGTGAATTATTTTTACTTCCATTCTTAATGCTTTGATTACTTGATCACTAATTCATTAATTTGCAAGCAATAACTATATCGAGAAGGGAATTATTTTTTATACCATATAGTACAAACATGCTATTTTGATAAAAAGGTAAAGATACACTTTTATGGTTGTCGCAATGGTTAAATGAATTATTTGGTGATTGAAACTCTTGATTAAGACGTATTCAAATTCACATAGAGGTATTGTGGGTTGATTTAATTGGGTGGGATTGGTTTGAACTCGAGAGATATAAATCAGTTAATTGAAAAGAATTCAATCGGGTACCATAACTAATTATTATAAAAATCAATGATTGAGATTAAATGGATAGCTGTAGTGAACTCAAGAATTATAACACTTATACCATCATATAAAAAATCCACTTACTCACTTGTTAATTATTTCAGTAGATTCAAAAAAATAAAAAAATAAAATAAAAGAATAAAAGAATCACTATTAATTATCATCAATCGAGTTGAAGTTAGGAATAATTGAATCAATGATTAGATATTAATTCTCATGGGAACGATAATTCAGTTTCTTACGTCTACTTTTTTTATTTGTTAAGATCTATACACTTGCGGGGTATAAAATTAACAATAAATTTTATTTGTTAGGACTATTTTAGTTAATATTATTTTAAATTATTTCTATTTCTATTTGATCCTTTCTTTTTTTTTTTCCTTTTAAGCTGATGTACTTGTTTTTCTTTGTTTTATTGACGGGGATTGAAAACGAGAAAGAGACCAGAAACAATATGCGATGATTGATCCATATATTGATAACAATGATATACTTGTTGGAGATGTCTTCACTTGATATAATTTACTTTCCAAACTTGATCAGGGTGACTTCTTAGTGGGATTAATTCTAAGTTTCTTATTGTTGACCACTCTTGATGAAGTGAATAAATCTTTCCAGTATAATCCATATGAAAAAGATAATATTTCCAGTATAAATCTTTCCAGTATAAAAGGATTGAAGCCCAAGAAAATTTATTTTGCAATTTTTTTTTTTTTTTTTAAAAGTAGTTTTTTGTAAGGTCATAACTAGGTACATAAGTCATTCCAAATTAAATTAGTCTAAACTCATATGTAATTGCATCGATAATTATTTTTCTTGTTCATTTTTAGGTATGATTAAAGTGTTCTGCAACCCGAGCAAAGAAAGCATATTAAAGAAAGATTAAAAACGAGTATTAAAGGAGAGACATCTATATGCGACGAATATTGCTAATTCTTCTTTAAGTGTATTTTGTGTACACATTGACAACAATGTCTATTTTAAGTTTAGGTTGTAAATTAGTTAATTAGGTATATTTGTTTGTTTGTGTTATATATTTAAAAAATAAATTATTGAGAAAATTGAAAAGAAAAATAATTCTTATTTTATGTATATTTCTGTGAGTTAGGTAGTCTTACCATCTAAATATTATGATTATTTGAAATTCTTAGTGATGCATAAATGTGAATAGGTGATGCAATTTTTTTATTAATTTAATACTTATTCATGTTAGATTGTATTAAATTGAACGTAATAGTCATGATGATCGATTTGAAATTTTGGATTGGTTAATTGATAATATAAGTTGAATGAACTTAACCTATTTAAAAAATAGTTTGGGGGTGGTTGATCTCAAGTTGGAAGCTATTTAGATAAATATTAATTCCGCATTTGTTGAAAATATTGTGTGGAGTGTTTTTGACTAACATGTGAAACCTAAGTAGTGACCATACATTAGGGGTTTGATCCCAATTACTTATCCAAATAATAAAAGGTAATTTACTTGTTTTGGGATACATAGTAATTCGACCATATTCATTACTAATGTTTTCGAGATAATCTACCGTGGAAGAAAGGTACCTGCAACATAGAGCGAAAACTATCTTCGAAAAGCAAAGAGAAGATTCCAAAAATAGATGAAGGGACACAATGAAAAATAAAAAGAAGATATTAACACACAAAATTATGTTGAGGCAGTGGCAAAATAATTATAATAATCGTTTCTGTCCGGCTATGTTTTGGGTAATTAGTTTGGGATTTAGATTTCTAGTGAGAGTTATTAGTTCCAATTTAAAAGCTCATGATTATTACATTGACTATACATACACATCGATCAAGTACAAAATAAGTAAAGAATGAGTTTTAGTTGCATTATTCATGAACTTTTGTGAATTGTCAAATGATTTTAATACTTGGTGCGATTTCCGTAAATTTAATATTTAATGTTATATCTTTGTTGTTTGCTTGTGTGTTTAATAGATAGTCTTGCTCGGAATGAACAAAAGTAGAAGTTTTGGGATATCGTTGAAAAAAATGACTTAATGAGTCTGGATTACTGTTCCAAGAATACTATTGTACTCAATTATTAATTTTAATAGGTCTAATTTATATTTGGCAATTACAAAATTTCAAATGAGTGGTTTTAATTATTCTACTAATGTTAAAAAGAAAAGTATTAAACATGTTGTGTAGTTGACAATCACTAGTTTCAGTTATTTCGATGATTAAAAGTTCGATGACTCACATTTCACCTTTATCCCTGGTTTTTAGGAGACAACGCCAGTAAGAATAATTAACATGTGTTTTCAATTTTGTTGGATTAGGACACACGATATTAGATCAAGAACAGAAAGTATAAGTTTGTTTACTGAAAATAAAAAAAGTGCAGAATTAAAAGAACACAATTGATATGTTTTCAGCCTAAGCCCCGGAGGTTCAGTGACTACATCCAACACCTACTTCCCCCGTTGAGCATCTAATATTATGGATTATACTCGGTTCCACTATAAAGCCCAAATCGGCAACAAATGTTACAAGAATGTTCAGAACAATCACAAAGAAAGTACAAGAACACTTATCTCTCACTTATACGGCAGCTGATCCACTCGAATCACAAATAATCGAACACTAAATCAACAGGAACAATTACACAGCCACACGAATACTACACTCAGATATTCACTCTGAATATCTCTACAAAGGAATCACTCTCTTACATAATACAAACTCAAATCAGGGATTTGATTTACAGAGAGAAATCAGAGAGAAGTATTCGAAAATAACGCAGCCATAGAGAGAGAGAGCATGAAGATGAATGAAACCCTAGAATAATGACCATTCGAGATAATGCCAAATGAAATGGCATTAAGTAAAGGAACCATCCAGAAGTAAATCCAATGGCCACATCCCGACCACGTGTCACACATCCAGTGATAAGCTGGAATAAAAGAGTTACATTTGCCAAAACACGATTTTACCAAATTTGGAAGCAGCCAATTGAACCCGGTTCAATTCCAACAGATCCACCTTCCCAAACTTGATTGAAAATCTCTTGAGAAAATTATATTCTACTTAATTAAGTAAATTCAATATATCTCTATGTGAATTTCAACATAATTAAATGTATTAATCTACCAAGAAATCAATTTTTACGACCGTAATAATTCTAAAAGTATATCTCTGACTTCTAGCTAAATTAACAATTTTATTATTTGGTGCAAACGAATAACTAACCACTCGACTTATTACTATTCACAAATCAATCACTCATTGTTCAGGTAATTGATTTCAATCATCAAATAAAAAGAATTTACAATATCAATAAACATCTGGTCTTTAATAATAAAAAGTAAAG